ACAGCAGTGGGATTCACATGACTGCATCATCTATGGGTCAGTATCTTAGTCTTGGAATTGGAAGTTGATCCAGAATGATGCATTAACACAAAATATATAGGTACATACCTCTACAGAAATATATATGATTACATACAAAGCTATTTGTAGCTCTTTAACATAATGAACCTTTATTTTACTTTAGGCCTACTCTTCCTTTGACAGTAATACAGTTTATTGAGAGAACAGAACATGGTTTACACCAGATAGTTAATAACTACAATGGTTTAATACTTTTTCAAACTTATACAACAACTCTGTGACATCAATCCGATGGTGAATCTTATTGTCACCAGGAGAGTATGACATCATGGTTTAACATAAAGCCAAATATCATAGTATAGGGCGAACCACTGCATATTAAAGTTTTAAACAATAATTTAAATCAGAAATTGAAGAGTAGATTAAACATAAATTATGAAACTTTCTCCTTACAACAACACAGCTATATACTTATAATATCTGTATTACACGTACAACCAAAGACATGTACTTACTGTACTTACATGGAAAATATGTCATGAAGCCAGGACTACACATACAACCTATACATTTGTTGTTGTTGTTGTTTATTGAAGGGTCTATACTCATGAAACAAACTTTGTAATTGTATTTAAGAATATTTTTTCTTGTTCCATTCCTTGAGTGGCACATGTAGCACTGACAATGAACAATATGGTGGCTCAGTGTTTGTTGTCGTGCAGATGCAGCTTGGAGTTATTTACATTAAATTCAGGTCCATACTGAGACTAAAAAGCAGGTTTGACATGTAAAGTCTATTTGTCTTCATTTGTGCTTCAATTTAGCCCACTACTAATTACTAGTAACTATTCCAGACTACGTGTAGTCTTGGGGAATAAGTGTAGAATTTGCATGAATTGGCATTGTTTAAATATAACTGACTGAATTAGGGCAGCCCATAGGTGGGCTGTCTATAAAATGCTCTCATGCAAAATCCCATCTGGCAAATACCAATGGTACTAGTTCTGGCCATGGTTGATTCCTCCGAGAAATCTAGTTCCTCTCAAAATACAACACCATCCTGGTAGGTTTCTGGGCTTAATGGAGAAGTATTGGAAGAGTCAAATGTACTGTTCCCAATACTAATGGTGGGTATACACGCTTATAGTTTCTTCATTTAACCTGCAGACTGAACAAAGAAAATATAATAGATTCCACCATCAACGCTTACGAGCATTAAGCGCTCCCTGCTGTCTGCATTGTATTCTGGCAGCATCTGCTGGCTGCTGTCAGAATACCACGAGTGGAGCTAGCAGCTAATTGGCTTCAAGCTCTGTTCAGCTGAGAATTATCCAACCGGCTCCTTCGATCAGCTGATCGTGGGATGCCAGACAGAAGGGTGCCAATAGCGGCACCCACTGTGTGAAGTTACTGATAAATCGGACGAAAATTTGCAAATGGTATACCCAGCTTTAGAGTCAGCGTGTGATACTGAAGTTGTTATATGTCGGCTCTATAGATCGAGAGCTGAGCAATCCCGAACTGCGGATCGCTCAACTTACAGTCCTTTCCCTGCAGAGGACAGTGACTGTCAGTCACCACTCCCTGCAGGGATTTCCCCCTCCTCAATCTGTTCCTCCAGCACTCATTGGATCGTACGATTCTCGGCTGGTTTTCTAGCATGCTCCTTCATTCACACTGCACGATACACGAGAATCGTGCAGTGTATGGGCACCTTTATACTCTAGAGAGGCAAAGCCAGCTATCAATCAGGCAGCGGGGTGGATCCTGACAATATTCTTGGGATCTTTCCCAGCTGCAGAGCGGCTCTGTGCTGTCAGCAAATGGTGGGCAGTAGTCTGCTGGATTCTGACTTTGGGTCACAGGAGTACTTTAGTGAATGTACTCCTTTGACCCAAAATAGGACTAAAGCCCAAAAAAATAACCTTTGGCTTTAGATCTCTTTTAAACTACCACTAGGATATGTGTGGCAGCTCTGAAAGAAAAAAAGAAAATAAACTGGCATCTCAATTTAAGCACTTCCAGGTCTGATAGGCAAAGGGACACATGGGCCTTGGAGTCTCTGAGAGACCTGAAAATATTGGAGGATTGAGAGTGATGCTTCTTAAGAGAAAATTAGAACCCTTATCTCACATGCAATGAGATTGAGTTGCTAGGCTGTTGTCACTCCATGGTTGTTGACAGTGCTGCACTCAGGATCTCCTGCCCCTTCCATGTTGGTGTGCAAGGATGGTGTCATGGTTGAGGAAAGAAGTAATTTCCTCTGTCCACAGTCTTGCTACTGGGGTAGAAATGCACCAGCTTGTGTGCAGTTGCCAGTCAGGCTAGTATGTGAGGCCCAGTGTGAGAGTGATTGGTGTTTTCAAATTCCCTTAGAGATGTGTATTACAGCTTTCAGCAACCAGACCAGTCACACTGAAAATCAATGGGCTATTTAAAGCCAATTATGAAGCAGTGCAGGGCACCCAAAATGTTGCCTGTTTGGGGCCGGTGCTGGAACTCAAGGCTTTGAAGTAAGGGCCCTTACACATGATTAACCAGCCTCTTAAGGCCATTTACTCTATTGCCTCCAATCAGTTATTTGACTGCACAACTACCGGTATAAATATAAAAAAATACAGAAATGCACACTGTTACGCTGAAGCCTAATCTGAAGGTAGATTATGACATTTAAACCCAAAATACTGTTCACTTAGAAATATAGACAAGGTGCGTCTGTTAGTAGAAACTACAAGCATTTAAAAATAATTAGAACTTTCCACCATTGCAGCACAATACATACAATAAAATGTCTTGAACATAGTAATGACACATTCATAGTAATTGCATCATGATAATGTGCATAATACACATTCACAACAGTATCCATTGTAAGTCTGGTTTGATATGTTACATTAAGCAGCATCATTTTATAAGAGGTATCGTCTGCAGTTTGTACAGCGACTATTAAGCAGAGCTTGGTGCGAATATAAGGTTGGCAATAAGATTCATTAGAATGAGTTTGACTACTGAACATTAACATGACTTTCATGTACTTGCAAGCCAACAAATACATTATTCACATTATTCAATTATTGAAACGAGGAAATGAGCACAAAACTACAGTTCTTGCCCTTGGCAACCAGCAGCCTTTCATTTTATTAATTACTAATCCCATGCAAATTACTATTTACAGAGTTGAAATAAATATATGGTAATGTTTTCCCTCTAAAATATTTGTTAAGCTGGTAGAACTTTGTACAAATGTTCATATGCAAAGTCTCATCAGAATATTTGATAATGCCATCAGAGACTTGACGAATGCCGTTAGAAATCTCAATTGATTTAAACTAGGGATGCACCGATACCAGTTTTTCGGTATCGAGTACAAGTACCGATATTTTGCTTTCGGTACTCGCCGATACCGTTGCTTCTGCTGGCATGGAGCCAGAGTCCCAGGCAATCAGGAAGCCAGGCGTCATGTCATTACCCGCCGCCTGGCTTCCTGATTGCACAATAAGCCGGCTCCATGCTTGACCAGTTTGATGCTGATTGGCCGGGAAACCAGTTTCCCAACCAATCAGCATGGAGCCAGATTCCAAGCCAATCAGGAAGCTGGGCGGCGAGTAATGACTAAACACATTGTTTGCAGTAGGGCTAGAAGGTTGGCCCTGGATGTGATCCTCTGCCCCTTAAAATTGAAAAAAGTTTCTAGGCCTTTAGTGTTAGCACAGATCATAGACCATTTATTTATTAGCCATTGCTGTTCCAAGCATGGACATGGGTCCCTGGGTCTATTCAAAAATACAAACCAGGATTATCATATAGCCCGGAAATGCTGGAGTCTCTGTCTAGGCACAATGAAGTGGACTGCATAGCCTCTACTGCTGCAACCCTCCAAGAAAGCAAGTGGAAAAATGAAAGAAAGAAATAAGGAATTAATGGATGCAGTGCAGTTATGTAGTTAATTGGATAAGCATTTCCAAGCATTTCCTCTATTGTCCTAAAACTTTTAAATTATAGCAACACTTGCACACTGCATATTTTATTCTGAATATTACTCTAAATATACTATATTATTAATATATTATGGTATCCTCTTACACTATATATATACTGTATATATATATATATATATACTCTATATACGATGGTGCACTGCATGGTTGCACTACCACGTAGTTATTATCTGCCTTATAGGAATAAGGGATGCTTGAATCATGATTTTCATGTTCTTTCCTTTACTTGAGTAAGTTGTATCACATACACTCTGCTTTATAACTGCCAGTCATTACTTTGAAGATGCAAAAATGCATAGAGATGGAGGTATGACATCATTTCCTGGCAGGTCTCCTTGGCGGGATGCTGCAAATAAGTTTGGCCAGACCTCCATTGCCTGTAAACTGGTCATCCCGCTGTGTTTTGTCAGTTTGGCACATGAAGGCAGACCCATTGTAAGCAATTACCTGAGAATTTCCAGAGGAGGGACACTACTCATATAAAGAAGTCAGTAATTCATACTATAGGAATTGAGTCACAGTGATACCTCTTGTAGTAATATTTCTCTGTTCTCTTTAAATCTGCAAGCATAGAGCCTCGTGGTTTCCATTTCTCTTGAGGTAAAGGACCATTCCTTATGTGAGTCTGTCCAGATGGCCATTGTAGGATGCTGCAGAATTTTGAAAGGAATTCTCTCTAAAAACTTTAAACTCCATAAAGTGTAGGTGGCCACCATATCTGGTGTTAGTTGGTAAAAGGTAGTCGCTGCAGATGTGGCTTTATCATTCTGGTAGGACTGAGTAATACAACATTGTTCTGCATGTGTATTAAGTACTTAAGCTGGGAAGAAAAACTTGGTTCTGTGGCAGTTTAGTACCCGTCCTTCATATTTATAGAAAACGTGGCTGTAGACTCTATGGGTATCGGCTCTGGTAAACAGGTTTGCAGACATCTTGGAAGGTGGTATGGAAACAGATGTCCAGGGAGACAGAGTGGTACTATTAATGTCCAATAAGACAAGCCATTTTATAAGCCACTGCAGATATCAGAGCAGCTCCTCTACCACTGCCTTCCTCTGACTGGATGAAGGTAATATCACAAGACTGGGCCAACTTGTGAACTGTAGCGTGAAACTTGTCTTTGAAACTATAAGAGAGAAAAAAATATGGCGTTAGCCCACTAGTGTCTGATCTTAATGGGTTTCTAATCTAAGCTATGGTAAAATTCTCACAAAGATGGTCTACCATCAACTACTAGAGGCCATACGCCTTTAATATGTATTTATACTTTGTGCTAGCAGACATCCCTTTTTCTCATCTCAGGAGGTACCGTATATTGATAGTCTGACATTTTAGTCTGCCAAATGGCTGCAGGTAGCTTTAATTTATCAAATATTTTTGTTGTTTGACCACAAATTATTATAAAAGTACAAAAGTTATCTTACGTGGGGTGGAGCTTGTAAACGGATCCATCCACTCCCACTGTGATCTGCAGAATGTCGTCACCTCGGTTTTTATGCATATGCTTGAGTACGCCGGCCAGGCCAGCACCACACATAACAGCCGCTCGTGTGGACACACTTTCACAGGCCATGTGCACAGCCTGACAATCCGCCAGTGTGGGCTGCATGCCCAGTGTCCGCAGGATGTTGCAAGTCTGTCTGAAATCTGAAGAATCTCTGTGAAAGAGAATATATAGCCTATAATTGGGGACTGCAAGAGATAGAAGAGGAAAAGGGGAATGGGGTTTGGTAAAGAGCCTTGCTAGCAAAAGAGGAAGGCATGCAAATTGTATTCCTGCACCATTTTTTTTACATTAAAGGAGAACTATGGGGTATATGTTTTTCCCCATAGTTCTCCTAAGGTCACGGGAGGACATAAACTAACGTCCTCCCGTGAACCAAAGCTCAGTAAATCGTGAGCTACAGCTTGCGGTATACTGTGACCGCCACAGCCGGGACGGATCCCGACATTACTGTCGAGATCCACCCAGCTGTGTGATTGACAGCGGGCTCTGCCTGTCAGGAGGCAGAGCCAGCTGTACCCGCCCCCTCCCTCGTCCGTTCCGCCAGTCAGCGCTGAAGGATCGGAGCGGGGAGGGGGAATCCCTGCAGGGAGCCGTGAGTGACAGTCACGGCTCTCTGCAGGGAGATGATCGAGAAGTAAGCGAGTGAGCTCACTTCCTGATCTATTGAGCCGACGTGTGACAGTTTAATTGTCACAAGTCGGCTCGAACTATGAGGGTGAGTGAAAATCACTCACCTCATAGTTCTCCTTTAATAATGCATATTTCACTAAACAAAGAAGAAAAATACCATAAAGTGATCTGCAATTCCAAACCTTCCAACATGACCCAGTGCAAAAGGATCAATACACTCAGATCCTGACCATCCCTCTTTGTTTCTAAATACACTCAACTGAGCTTAGTCAATGAACACTTGTGAAGGGTCTCATAAAGTGTCAGGATATAGTAATCGGAAAGGTAGGGAGATGATTTAGGAGCAGAGTGTTTTGTACTGAATGGAGTGTCCTGATGGAAGGACAGCAGTATTGGTTGCTTCTTCTGTATCTTATTCCATAATGAATACAATCATTAAAAACTACAATCAGATTAGTTACCATGAAACCACCAGCTACTCAATTAATTCAATTTTGATTAACTCTGAGACAAATATCATCTGCCTTCTACTAGGCGAGAGAAGAAAAGATGTATAACATGTTGAGTAAGCTATATTCAATGGTTTGGAAGCAAGTAACTGATAATGCCAAGAGTCTTGAGATCAAAGTAAACATATAAATAAAATTCATTCAATTTTGATTACATCTTAGTCAAATATAACTATTCTTCCACTGGGAGAAATAATAAAAGATATATAACATGTTGACTGAGGTACAGTATATTCAATGGTTCAGAAGCAAGTAACTGATGATGCCAAGAGATCTTGACATCAAAGTTAAAATATAAGTAAAATTAATTCAATTTTTATTACATCTGAGAAAAATATAACTAGCCTTTCACTGGGAGAGAGAATAAAAAATGCATAACATGTTGACTGAGGTATATTCAATAGATTGGAAGCAAGTAACTGATGATGATAAGAGTCTTAAGATCAAAGCAAAAATATAACTAATATATTTGTGCATAGCACTGAAGCTGAGCAACAGTTTAATAAGAAATGGCAAATATTGTATTTTTGACTATATTATGGTTCCATTTGTCATTCTTATTGTTAATACAGTTCCCAGTGCAAAGGTGTAGTGTCCTTACCCTTCTACTTGAGACACAAACTGTGATTCAAAACTTCCCTTTGTCTTCAGTTTTTCAGAGGCCTCGCCACCAAACACCAGATTTTCATTCACCATTTTCATCAGGACCAGCCTGACTAGTTCGCCCATGTACTTTCCACCAATCATCTTCTCGTAGCTGTAGCAAGCCAGAAAAAGAAGTGGTAAAATATAGATGCAAGGTCACTATCTGCAAGGCGTTTGCATGTCCTCCTGTGCTCTGATTTCCTCCCACACTCCAAAGACATGCTGGTAGGTTATTTGGCTCCTGTCTACATTGGCCCTTGTATGTATGCATGTGTGATAGGGACCTTAGATTGTAAGATCCTTGAGGGCAAGGACTGATGTGAATGTGTACTGTTTAAAGCGCTGTGTAAATTGTCAGCTCTATATAAATACTTGTAATAAACAATTAAATACAGTCTTGACTGTTCTATTAATTACTACATAGACACCCCACAGCTTCATATCCTTCTATCAGCCCACCTACTACAATATTAATTGCACTTCTTCAACCCATGATGCAAAAAAAACAAAAAACTTACAGATACATCTAATACAGAGAGCAGTGGTGATCTACATATTAAGAGACCAACCACATCATATTTTAGGTCCCTTTCACATGGCCTGTCTGATCAGATCCACCTGCCAGTTGTTGAAGCAGACCCGACCGGATGCCCAATGCTAGTCTATGAGCAGCAGGGTCTAAAAGAACATGTGTCCGTTTACACCCAGTTACCCCTGACTTTGGCCAGGTCCAGAAAAACAAACGGATCAGAGATCCGTTTCGGTGGACCGGATCGTGCCCAATTAGGGGAAATCTGATGTAACCAGACACATGTCTGGCACCCCAAAGACCAACATGGGGTCCAGCAGTTTTAGTTTTTCTCTTCATTGCAAGATGAAAGAAAAAGTTGGATCGACACGGATGTCAAAGCGCTAACACCCGATCCGTACTGCTCCGATCAGGAAGGGATCTGTTCCGGATACCCTCCTGATCAACCCATGTGATAGGGGCCTCAGCTTGTCATAGTCAGACTAGTAAATTATATATTCTGATTGGTTACTATGGCCTACGGTAGTATGCATGTCACTCTCTGTCTAGGTGTTCAAAGGTGTTCCCAGGCCAAAGGAATAATTTTTGTAAATATGTTACGTTCTGTGTGGCCCTTAAATGGTGCTGCTTTCTGCACAGCTTGTTTGCATAATAAAACATTAGGAAAACGCTGTATATCTCTACCACTTGCAAAGACAGAGAGGGCAAGGTTCTGTATCCTTACAGTTGCTGACCAGGATTTAGAGAGCCTTCATCTATCACTCGGTCATATTCCAGTCTGAAATCTTCCAGTTCTCCCGTATCCCCGAATGCTCCCCATTCTGTGTTGACACACATGCGTCCCTCTTCTCCTTCCACCAGCTCCACATTGCACATCTCTTCCATGTAGCAGGCGTTGCAGCCAGTGCCTAGATAGTTGGAAAGGAAATAGATGTTAAAACACTGATAAAACACTACAAGTTTAGTATTCAGAAGTCTGGTCTAATGGCAAAGCAATACAATTATGCCGAGCTGCTTATGTCAACTTATTCAGTTGTATCCAAATCTCGGCAATTCTATGGGTCAGCTCCCTAGGCACCATGTCTGGTACGCTTGAGAGCTTTTTTATATAATTTTGTGTGAGTTTTCTATAAGGTAGATTGCCAGGTCTTTCCTCAACCTTCTTCATGTACATGGGCTCGAGACACTTTTTACACATATACTAGGGCCAATGTAGACAGAAGCCAATTGATCTAACAGCATGTATTTGGAGACAGGGAGACAGGGAGAGCATGCAAACTCCATGCAGAAAGTGTCCTGGCCAAGATTCAAACCAACAACCAGTACTACAAGGCATAACAGATAATCACTAGGCCATTGCTGATTTCATTAAATACAACCACTTAACACCTTTGATTACTTTCCTTTGCAAAAAGGGCAGCATGCAAATATACAGTCTAATATTGCACACTATAAATAATTTATATAAAAAATTAAAAGGCTCAATTTATAAGGCTACAAGGTACAGTATGTACTGTTTACAATAGCGATAGTTATTTACAGCAATATTACCATTGCTATATATTAAAATTAAATTATTATATCACTATTATTTGCTGTAATTATTATGGCATGTAAATTAACCCTACAGTCATGAAAAAAATGGAACAAGGTTGTAAAAAAGGTTGCATCAAAACATATTTTAGGTAAAGGTTATATATACCAACTCACTATGGGCCATCGCTAAAAATACAGTATAGTTTCCCTAATATTTGTAATCTGCATTTTCGCAGATGGGTTCCAGAACAATCTATATTAGTTTTCTAGTAATAGAATGACGTGGCTATCAAGCTATATGTCCCCAAAGGTAGGGTGGGATTTGTACACAGAAAAAAAACTTATGCCATATATCTCCAACAGGATATCCATGTGATAACCAGAATGACTGTCCACTTACCCACTATCAAGCCAACTTCACAGTGATGATCTTCATAGTAACAAGATATCATTGTAGCAACAGTGTCATTCACCATGGCAACAACATCCATCTCAAAATCCTGGGGAGCGCAGAGTAAAAGTGAGGTTATGAAGTTACTTATGAACTGGATGATAATTACCAGTAAACAAAGTATAATTGAGCATTACTGCTACCGAGGAATATTGTGACAGGTGAAGTACTGCGGGTTCATTTCAGTAACTCACATGTTACAATGACAATCTACGCAGTATATGGCAACCTTTCTCAAACATGGTTCTGTGCGACTCTAGGGTTCCTCAAGAGGTTGCTCAGGGTTCCTTGAAGAGTGGTGGATTAATCTCTCACCTTCATAGTTCTAGCACCAATTCCACCTGGCAGAGCGAGTGGCATGGGACCAGTGGAGCTTCTCCTCTCTTTTCTGAGGTAAGTAACCGCTGACACTAATGAAAATGTTAGCTGTCCGCAAAGGGGTGGGGGGGGGGGGGGGGTTTCTTT